CCTATATACCAACCTATATACCAACTTTTTTTTTTTCCTCTCAGAAGTCAGTCAAGTAGGAATGTTATTTAAGTCACTTTCTTTCTGAAGTTGTTTGAATATTACGATGGTATTGAACTGATCAACCTCTTAGGGCATTTTCTTAAAATTTTCAAACACTTTTGTGACTTTCTTGGCAAAGAAGAGTGATAAGAGAAGAGCACTCTGTAGCCACATGGCAAACGAGAGCCAGATGAGAGCTTTCCAGGGCCGCAAGTGCAGCTTACTGATCACTGCACTCCTCAGTCCTCTCTGACCTCTCCGTCCTCTCTCACGTTGCGAGGCCAACAACAGCATCTCCCACATGCCCTTCCCTCCTGCTGCCCTGCACGCTCCATTGGCAGCTGTGTCTAGTTCACGCTGTCATCAGTTGTGCTCCGGTTATGTCAGACATGTCCAAAGCTGTGGCCAGCAGGCCTTGACATTGAGGCTCATCATGATGCTCCAGCTCCTTCCTCGACAGAGTTGATGGAGCTCAGGCCAAAAATAAGGGGCTTGGGATTTCAGATACACACACAGGCTGGGAATGTGGGAGTGGAGCACTTGGGAATGCTGGGGTTCTGCTCTGGGCCTGTGGACAGGGCAGCAGGGAGCTGTGGCTGTTGGCCACAGTAGTTTCATCTTTGGTTCTGACAGACTGGACACTGAATGACCGCAGGTGAAAAACCTGTCCACAGGATCCCTGCAACTACCCTTCCAATTTAACATGTCCTTGTAGTGATCACCTCGCTCACCTCTTCATCCGCATGACGCGTGCTCTGTTCATCATGGTGTTCCCTTCAGCTAGAAGGGGTGCAGTCACCACGAACTGACTCTCAAGGCCCTTATTGTAGCACAGGGTCAGTGTGATACACACATTATCCATACACAAATTGGAGCACACAATAAATGTTGTCATCTCAAGGACGGCAACCAGCCAGCGTCCCCATGCCCATTACCTAAAATAACCCCCTAGATGTCAGTGGGGAGAAGCCTCCCCATTCTCTGAGCAGCAGCGTTACCTTGGGGCAGGCGGCCGGTCACGGACACCGCGTACACGCCGGGCTTGAAGCTACCTGGGGGAAAAGGACACACTGAGTTACTCCGCACAGCAGCCAGGTGGGCACAGCAGCCCCCACAACCTCCAAAAAGGAATTTCTAGGGAAAAAGCAGGTCTGGCCTAAGGCGGCCAGGAGAAACACTCACTGATTCGCTGCCACTTGGAGACCCAGCTGTCCTCGGGGCTCATCATCGCGATGATCCTGCAGGAGAGACAGAGGTGAGGGCACCTGTCCTGGCCCCGACATGGCCCGGGGGCCACAGAGAGAGGCAGCGCGCGGCAGGACCGCACTCACCCGTCGAAGGAGGAGCTGGTGCAGTCGTAGACCATCTCGCGGTTGCCCTTCATCTGCAGGTAGGCATCGCAGTTGTCGCACCCGTCGTACTCGAACTGGTCGATGGTCTGTGGGGGACGGAGGCACCGCGCTGAGCCGGGGCGGCCCGGGAGGGGGGCCGGGAA